CTGCTCAGTTTTGTCACAGATAAAGAACACTGGTATGAAGAACTATTGCTTCAATTCTATGCCACACTGCACATTCGCGGCTACAACAGAGATACGAAGACTTGGGTTCTTGAGTGGATGACCGGAAACGTTCATCATGAAGCCAAAGCTATGGATATCATCGAGCTTACAGGCCTGTCCACTCCCGGAGAACTCTATGAACCTGGCTGTCAACATCATCGCAATGCCCTGGAAAGCATCTTTCATAGGCCTGAACCCAATATGAGTCAGATGCTGAGCATGATGAAGCTTTTGCCCCGTGATGCTGAATATCCAACAGAGTTCTTTGTTGAAGACCTTGAGTATCTGCCACGCACCATATATCACATCATCAGGCGGACTCTATGGCCTATCAAAGGACATTCATCAGCGGCAAAGCTTGAAGGAGCTATGAAGACTTTGGTCTTCTACATTTTCAATGGCATCAGCTTCAATGCACAAGATTTCTTCATCGGACAACTTGCTGCTTCCGGCTCTGATCTCTTTGGTCTGAAGTTTTATGCTCCATGGGTCATGCGCCTCATAAAGCGACACTCTACTGTCAACTATCAACCTTCTGCTCGCAATCATGTGATTTTTCTACCTGAGGTTGATATGTCAGTTCAAGCTATATATCCTAACCCTGCCAAGAAGCCTCTTTGTCTTCAGAATGCCGAGCACCAAAGCTTCACTCAACCCATTGAAGGTGTTCAAGCAGCTACACGAATCTATCCATTGGCTGGAAATACTCGTCTGCCTCATCGAGCACCTACTGAAGCCACTGAAAGCACCATTGCCCAAAGGCCTCGGAAGCATTCTCGCGTTCTTAATGATCGAGAACTTCTTGTGGCCCTTCATCAGAAACAGGATAAACATCACTTTTGGCTCAAGAGACAGATGCAAAGCCTCTTGGTGGATGTCAATCGCATTCGCAACCTTGCCACCAAGAATGCCTTTGTTGCTCACGAAACTTGCCGGCGATCATGGAAGAGTTTGACCCCGCTTAGTGCTGAAGCAGATCTTCAAGACGATGGCTTCAATGAAAGATTTCAGTTTGACTCCACTCCTCCACGGAATGTTGTCTTACGAAGAACTCCCTCTCTTGAAGACTCTGAATATTCTTCCTCCACAGCAACGGTAAATGCCAGAGTGATCAATGATGAAGATGATGCTACTTCACCGCCTCCAACTACTACTGCGCGCATCGACACTGCACCAAGTTCACCTGCACCGCCACCCAACGACAACAACCGTGCTGCTTCACCTACTCATCAAGAAGACGAGTAGATGCTCTATGTCTTCAAACCTTTTTGGTCATTACTGACAAAAGGGGGAGAAGCGTATGAGTTGATAGTCTTCAAGCGGGTTCAAATGGGCGGTTGCGTTATATTTTGCCTCGTGCTTACAACTCTTGCGTTTTGAAACATTTGGTTCTCTGAGTTGTAACACTTAAACTTGATGGTCGTCTGCTACTTATTTGCATTTCCATGTGCGATGATAACTTCCGCACTTAAATCATCCTGTAGATGTCCATTTTTCATTATGCATGTCATTTTATATGCTATATCATTTCATGCATGATGAATTATCTTCATAAGTTGAAGTGGATCTCCACAAGTACAACCTGCCATGTGCATTTGCATTCCAAAAGCAAAATTATTTATATGCAGATCTTCAGGGGGAGCCCTTGCTACTTATGAAGACAAATTCCTATCCTTTACAATTTCACATACTTTATCCCCATTGAAAACTTCAACCAGTTTGTCATCAATCACCAAAAAGGGGGAGATTGTAAGTGCATATAGTGCCACCCCTAGTTGGTTTTGGAGTATTGACGACAAAGTTGGTTGAGGGACTAATGCGTTTGTGAGAATTGCAGGATAACGCAGGTAGTGTCCCTCATTGATTCGGTTTACCTACCGGAGATGACCCCTAAAAATGTATGAAGACATTGACGACAATGGTGGTATGAGAAGATATTCATATTGAAGACTATGACATGAGAAGACATTGCGTGAAGACTATGGAGCACGAAGACTGTGTGGTTTCGTTGTTTCCTTTTCTTCTTTGTTGAGTCATAGGAACCACCGTACTGTTAAGTGGGGTCCAAGTGAACTAAGTCAGAGTGACTGAAGTGATGCTCAACCCAAATCCTATGTCTTCGAGCGAAGACAATGAGAGCAAATCTTATCCAGAGTTGGATGAGTCAGCTTTGCTTGTAGCCCAAGTAAAGTTGTCGTGTGTGTTTGAAATCTAACCGTTGGAACACGTGTCAGTTCCTTAGTGACCCAGGGTCATTTCAGACAAATCAGGTCGGGTTGCCTAGTGGCTATAAATAGCCCACCCCCTACACCATAAATTGGTGGCTGCTCAGAGTTAATATACGGCTTTTGTCGTTTGAGAGCAACCCACCTCGAAGCATTTGAGAGAGAGAAATCCTTGCGAGGACAAAGCCCAAACACCCAGAGCCAAAGAGTATTAGGCATCACTGAAGTCTTTCTGTCTGTGTGACCTGAAGACTTATTACACTTGAGGACTGTGTATCCTCCAGCCGGTTAGGCGTCGCGTTCTGAGCATCCAAGAGTCATTGTGGATTGCCGGGTGAACGAAGTCTGTGAAGGTTTGGAAGTCTACCTTGAAGACTTACCAGAGTGATTGGGCGAGGACTGGGTGTCCTTAGCTCAAGGGGAATAAGGTGAAGACACGGTCTTCTGAGTTGAATCTCAGCCTCCCTAACCAGACGTACAGTTGTCACAGCAACTGGAACTGGTCCAACAAATCATGTGTCTTCAACAAGCAACTTGTTCTATCTCTTCCCTCCTTTACTTGAGTTTGTCTTCGTGAAGTCATTGCTTATCGTCTTATCTGATTGACTTCATTGCTTGACTACAATTGTTGATTGGCTTCATACTATCTTCCTTCCTGATCCTACTACCTAGCTGCTATTAATCTTTGAACGTTAATGCTATTGCATACTTGATTATGGCTTGCTTGTTGTACTTTATCTTCCGCTGCATATCAATTAGGTTGTTTCTATTGTTTGTCTTCGAAACTTCCATGTTTTGAAGACTTTCATAAAAATCGCGTATTCACCCCCCCTCTAGTCGATAACTAGCACTTTCAGGGGGTCTTCCGCGGCGCCAGCCATGCCTAATTTTGTCCTTCGTAGTTCTCTGTCAGAGTCAGAGCTGCGCTATCTGATTGCATGTGGCTGAGTTTTGGCACGGATCTTCATAGATCTTCATGTAGACTATGAAGTGTGTGTTGAGTCGACGATCGCATATGGCGAAGTCGGGGTCATTTGCTCAGGATTTAGGCGAAATCACTAATTAAAGAGTACTCCTTGCCGAGATCACTCCAACTTCCCCAGGTTGCGACAAGTGGTGCGCTGCATGTGCGCCACTTGTCGCAACCTGTGAGTTTTCTTTTTTTTCGTAGATCCGTTTATTCAAAATGTTTTATCTCTTAAACCGTGCGTCCAAATCTCGAACCGCTTTCGCCATTGGATTCCTCGCGTCGAGATCTTCAAAACTAGATCCCATGTTGATAGGTTTTGACGAACTTTTTTTTCACGAAAAAATCGGACGAAAAAACCGAATCGGGAACACGGCTTTTTTCCCTTTCCGAAAGAGGCACGCCCGTGCTATGACAAAATCACAACCGTGCCTCTCGCGGAAACAAAACCATGCCACTCACGAAAGAAAAAAAACAGAAAATGCGTTTTTTTCCTTTTCCGAAAGAGGCGCGCCCGTGCCTCTCGCGAAAGCACAACCGTGCCTCTAAGAGAAAAAAACAGAAAACACGTTTTTTCCCTTTCCGAAAGAGGCACACCCGTGCCTCTCGCGAAAGCACAACCGTGCCTCTCGCGGAAGCAAAACCGTGTCTCTCGCGAAAGAAATTTTTTTTAGAAAACACGTTTTTTTTTCGTTTCCAAGAGGCACGGCCGTGCCTCTCGCGAAAGCACAACCATGCCTCTCGCAAAAACAAAATCGTGACTCTCACGAAAAAAATGCATTTTTTTGCGCAAAAAAAATCGAATTTTCTTTTGATCGAAAAGCTAGGGAAGACCGGTAAAAAAACAAAACATAAAAAAACCCTGAAAAACAACCTTTTAAAAAGCCAAAAACGCATGCGTAAAAATAATAATAATAATATCCGGAGAGAGCGTCCAGAGCGCGACACGTGGCGAATGGCTATGAGCGCCAAGTGACGCTGATCGTTGCGAGGCTCCGGAAGGAGCGCTCGTTAATTAGTTGCTCCCGGATTTAGGGATGGCGATGACGCCTCGAGGGGAGGAGCGATGATGATGGCACCTGCGTGTTGTAGGCCCTCATTGGACTGGTGGGGTTTGGGGTGTGGGGGGTATCTTGTGTTTGCCGTTGAGTGATGATTTTTGCCTGGTTTTCATAATCAATCAGGCAATCTGATTCCTGCTCAGTTTTCTCTATGCAGGATAAATGCCTTTTTGTGAAAAATATTATATTATATTCCGAACGTCACGGCATTTTACATACATATACATTCAGTGACGATGACGAACGAACGATCGATGGAGGACACGCAAGTAGTGAAGCCAGCGGTTCGGACGAGAGACAAATCATGCAATGGAAGGAACAATATTAGTATATCTCACACGTAGACGGTAGCCATCCTGCTCCGTGTTGCGCAGTTCAGGTCTACAAGCATGCCTTCATGCACCATCGACCCATCGACGGACGGCCACACCAGCATCGGCCGGTAGCATGCAGCCATGCATGCGCTGACACAGGCGAGCTAAACTTGCATGGCTGTCGCCGGTGGAGGCCAACAGGGCCATGCACCGACCCGACACGTAGTCATGCATGCATGCATGCTCATCATACGCTACAGGTGCATGCATGCATACATATGGCCGGAGCCGGAGCTGGTCCTGGTCCAGGCCGACCGGCGAGGTGACGTCCCGTCTCCATCACAGCTCCTGGGACATTCATCCATTCATTCATTCATCGGCCTTCGCATTCACTGTCCGATCCTCCTCCCGCGGCAGCGTCCTCGTCGTGGACACGGGAAGCAGCTGCAGGCATAGGCATGGCGCGGCCTCGCACAAGAGACGGAGTTGGTGGCAGCTTGGCCTGCTGGAGCATGTGGACGACCTCGCGCATGGTGGGCCGCTCCACGCTCTGCTCCTGCACGCACAGCATCCCCACGAACAGCGCCTGCGCCGCCTCCCACGCCGGCACGTCGCCGCCCAGCCGCGGGTCCAGCACCGCCTCCACGCCGGCCCCTTGGTCGACCCGGGCGCGCACCCACTGCACCAGGTCCAGGCTGCCGTCGTCGCCCAGGTGCGGGCCCACCGGCCGGTGCCCCGTGATGAGCTCCAGCAGCACCACGCCGAAGCTGTACACGTCGCTCTTCTCGTCCACCTTGAGCGTGTAGGCGTACTCTGCAAATGCCATGCCATGCGTTACATTGTCAGTAGTGTCAGTGCACATACAGAATGGAGTGGTATATTCGTATGGACAAAGGAAGATCACGGAGGAAGGACAAAAACAAGATGATGGAGAGCTACGTAGGAGGTACTCCCTCTGTAAACTAATATAAGAGTGTTTAGATAACTAAAATAGTGATCTAAACGCTCTTATATTAGTTTACGGAGGGGTACTAGGTAGGGAGCTAGAGAGGTGAAGGAGTGGTCGTTATCCATGGATACATGTGCATGTGCATTATCTCTGGATCTCTCTAGGATTCGATCATCCAGAGCGCGCAATTGAACAAAAGCTTGGTCGTCGATTTGATGTAAAGGAAAGCAAGAGAGGGAGGGCCGGTCATGCCACGTAGTACTTTACTTTACTAGTGTTACTAGGATCGACCAGTCTTATTTGTAGTACTGTACAAAGCAAAGCAAAGCAAAGCAAAAGTGGTACGTAGAAAATAGCACGTAGCCCTAGCTAAAGCCTAACTAAAGTCTAAAGTATACGCATGACAGTAAATAAAAGAATAAAGCAGCTAGAACCGGCCGGACGATCGATGCATGGTAATTTCCTAGTAGATACTCTAGCTAGAGAGAGATATGCATGTACTATGTCAGATGAGGATCGATGAGCATGCATGGATGCATGATGCTTGTCTTGACCCTTGTTGCGTTGGCCGAGCTTAGCATTCCAACCATGCATAACTAGTTTATACACCCACGATATAAAGAGTACTTTGTAAAGTAGTAATGCACGTGTTTGTTCTCATGATTAGTGTGGTCAAAGAGGAATCCTGGCTCGTTCGCTAATCCCTCCCTTTTAGGCATATGCATGCATGCATGCAGCAGTGAGCTAATAAGTCTAGAGTATTCTATTGGCAAGCATGTGGGACATTGTGATGCAGGACATAGACATAGCTCTTCGTTTGAGGTAGCAAGGGGTACACGTCTAGTCATCACCAGATCTTTCTTTCCTTGTCTCTTTCCTTCTTCCTTTCATCACTCGCTCTCCAACATCGATATCGAATCGATCACCATTGAGCATCCATCCATGGTCCATGGTCCATGGTGTGGGGAGAGAAGATGCATCAAAAGAATTTCGACCAACTCAACAGAGCCGAGCCATAGCAGACAGAGAAAGAAAAAAAAGAATGATTGGCCTAGGAACGCAGGATGGACTCGGCAGCATTTATCTATCTATGAATCTATCTGACCGTCACGTCACCAGGTTGTGTTGCATGCATGTCATACCCAACGGACTCGACCAACATTGGACGCAGCAGCAGCCATGGACACGACGGCGTACCGTACCGTACGTACGAACCAAATGCAAGGAAAATTGATACTTCTACAGTAGAACTGAGGCAAATTTGATCGGCAAGTGAGCAACGTTCAACGTGCATGCATGCAGTACAACGTACGCGTACGTACCTGGCGCGATGTAGCCGTAGGATCCGGCGATGGCGGACATGCACTCGGACGCGGCGCCATGCCCATGCCGGAGGTACTTGGCCAGCCCGAAGTCCGCCACGTGGGCCTCCATCCCTTCATCCAGCAGGATGTTGTTGGACTTGACGTCCCGGTGCAGGATCGTCGGCGAGCAGTCGTGGTGCAGGTAGCACAGCCCCATCGCCGCCTCCGTCGCCACCCGCAGCCGCGTCGCCCACGCCATCACGTTCCCGTCGCCACCTTCCCCATGCAGCACGTCCCCGAGGCTCCCCTTCGCCATGTACTCGTACACCAGCAGGTTGCTCTTCCCGTCGCCCGACGAGCAGAAGGCCAGCAGCCGCACGATGTGCCGGTGCCGGATCCGCCCCAGCGTCCGCACCTCCGCCCAGAACCCGCCGTCGTCCCCGCCGCCGCCCCCCGCCGCCGGGATGCGCTTCACCGCCACCGCCTCCCCGCCGGGCATCGTGCCGCGGTACACCGTGCCGGCCCCGCCCCGCCCCACCACCTGGTTCTCCTTCACGCACTGCACCACGTCCGCCCACCCGAACGACACCTTCTGCTGGAACGCCGTCATCCGCCACCCGCCGCTGCCCCGCTGCCGCCGCCTCCGCTGCATCGCCGACCGCGTCGTCGCCACCGCCGCCGCCGCGAACGCTACCGAGCACGCCAGCAGCCCCAGCGCCGCCGCCAGTTTCAGCCGCCCCACCGACGACGTCGACGCGGGCTGCTTGTCGCCGCCGCCGTCCGGCCAGAGCCGCGGCCCGGACATCGACGTCAGGTTGCACGGGTTGGACGACGCGATCGTCGTCCCGCACAGCCGCGGGTTGCCGGCGAACGACGTCGCGTTGAAGTAGGCGAACTGCCCGCTCTGCGGCACCACGCCCGACAGGTCGTTGTGGGAGAAGTCGGCGGCGGTCAGGCTCTTCATCCCGCTAATCTCCGCCGGGACGCCGCCCTCCAGCTTGTTCCACGACACGTTCAGGTAGTTGAGCACCTTGATCTCCGCCAGCCGCGCCCCCGGGATCCCGCCGGTAAGCTGGTTCACGCTCAGGTCCAGGAACGTCAGCGACGTGCACTCGCCGATCTCGCCGGGGACCTCGCCGGTCAGGTTGTTGCCGCTCAGGTCCAGCTTCAGCAGCCGCTTCAGCCGACCGACCTCACGCGGGATGCCGCCGGCGAGCTGGTTGCCGCTGAGGAGAAGCGTCTGCAGCGACGAGAAGCTGCCGATGGACGCCGGCAGCGAGCCGTTGAACCTGTTGCTCGACAGGTTCAGCAGCGACAGCATCTTTCTCTCCTTCGCCGGGGTGCTGTCGTCCTCTGGAAGATGGCCGGTGAGGTAGTTGCTCTGCAGCTCGACGGTGGTGAGCGCCGGCAGGTAGAGGAAGCCGCGCGGGAGCTCGCCGGTGAGGTAGTTGTTGCTGATGCGCACCCGCGTGAGCGTCGGGCAGTCGCCGAGCCCCTCCGGCACGGGACCGAAGAGGAAGTTGTTGAGGAGGATGAGGATCTGGAGCTGGCCGCGCGCGCACAGCCACCGCGGCACCTCCCCTGTGAGCCGGTTCGTCGACAGGTCCACCTCCTGCAGCGGCGCCGCGCGGCCGAGCGTCGCCGGGATGGAGCCCGTGAAGTTGTTCTGCCACAGCTTGAGCACCTGGAGGTGCTCAAGGTCGCCGAGAAACTCCGGGACGCCGCCACGGAAGCGGTTGATGAACATGTTGACGAGCCTGAGCTCCCGCAGCGCGGCGAGCTGCGGCGGGACCTCACCCGTGAGCGCGTTGTTGGAGACGTCGAGGAAGCGGAGCGCGGTGAGGTTGCCGAGCTCCGGCGGGATGGTGCCGTTGAGCTGGTTGGTCTGGAGGTAGAGCGTGTAGAGCCTGGTGAGCGCGCCGAGCGCCGGTGGAATGCCGCCCTGCAGGCCGCAGCTGGCGAGGTCGAGGTGGACGAGGCTGGCGAGCCGGCCAAGCTCGGCGGGTATGCCGCCGTCGAACTGGTTGAAGTAGCCGAGGAAGAGCTGGCGGAGCGCGGTGAGGTTGCCGAGCTCGGGAGGGATGGAGCCGGTGAGGCTGTTGCCGGCTACAGAGAGGAACTGGACGGCCTCCAGCGAGCCGAAGCTGCGCGGGATGGCGCCGGAGAAGAAGTTGCCGCCGAGGTCGAGGTGGACGAGCGTTTTGAGCGGCAGCTTACCGGCGTCCGGGAGCGGGCCGGCGAGGTCGTTGTCGTAGAGGTCGAGCACCTGGAGCGCGGGCAAGGCGGAGAGGTCGAGGCGCTGCAGGGTGCCGTTGAACTGGTTGTTGGAGAGGTTGAGGTGGCGGAGGTCGCTGAGCGCGGCGAGGGCGGGGGGTAGGTCGCCGGCGAGCGCGTTGTTGGAGAGGGAGAGGAAGCGGAGGCCGGTGAGGTTGGCGACGGCCGGGGAGAGCGCGCCGGAGAGGTTGTGCGCGGAGAGGTCGAGCGAGACGACGGTGCCGCCGCGGCGGCCGTCGCAGGCGACGGCCGGCCAGGAGCGGCACAGGCCGGCGTGGTTAGCGATCGTCCAGGAGGCGTGCAGCGCCGGCGGCGAGGAGGTGAAGGAGCCCTTGATGGCGACCAGGGCGGCGGCCTGCTGCTGGCTCCAGTGGGAGTCGGAGTCGGGGTCGGGGCTGGAGGCCGTGGCGACGGCGAGGTGATCGAGGCGGCAGAGCAGGACAAGCACTAGTGCCAGCAGTGGGAGGACGGATGCCGCCATGCGGTGGATGGATGGAGGGAATGATGGCTGCTCTGCTCTGCTCTTGGGAGGGAGTGTGCGTAATGATGAAGACGACTGGGTGGGTGGCTAGCTAGCTCCAGCAGCTCAGGCCTCCATGGATGGATGGATGGATGCTTTTGCTTTCGCTGTGGGAATGGCAATGGAAATGGCGATGGGGTTTGGGTCTTTGGGCTTTGGCTTTGATCATAGGGTTTCATTTCATGCAGTGCAACGTTGCTTTCTCTTCTTTTGGAGGCGAAAGCAAAAGCAACCGAAAGCCATCGAGTGCTCTGTCTCTGTCCTTAGTCCCTCACTCTCTGCTCTGGGAATGTTTCGGCTCAGTCTTGGTCAGCAGCAGCAGCAGCAGCACTGGATTTCGTGCTACAAGAATTAGTTAGTTAGTAGCTCAAAAATCAGCAACGTTTTTTTTGTTACTACTACACAAAAGATAGGACTACTTTTTAAGAGGGTTCACTAGTTACTTTTTTTTATTACATAATGATGTTTATTTTTAAACATGGTTGAAAACATCTACTTTGGCGCCCGATTACAATCGTCAACATGATCCTTTTGGGTGAACCCTGCTTTAAGGAGCAAAAGCTAACAAACGTGGGATATGTGATCCCTTGTTCCCACCAGATCTTACATCTTTTCTAGGGAATGCTTGTAACTTTTCTAAAAAATACTCCATTTTCCCTCTTCAATCCTCATTTAACGAATACTCTTCATATCCTATATACCTGAACCGTGGTGGAGCTGTGCACAGACAAAACTGTTGCCCAAAGCCATGACGAAAACACTAGGTGTGAGGGTAAATTTGGCCCAAGAGGTAAAATTTCCAGGCTCCCCCTCTAGCTTAGCCAAAACAAAACTTTTGCCCAAATCCATGATGAAAACACTAGGTGTGATGGTAAATTTGGACCAAGAGGTCAAATTTCCAGGCTCCACTCTAGCTTAGCCGATTCTGGCCCGCCCAACATACTCTCTGTAGTTCCACCATTGTAAGATTCACACATTTCTCTGATTCAGTCCAACTGACAAGCATGGTGAGGGAAGCCATCACCTTTCTATGCCCTCTTGTTGCGCTAGACATGTTGTTCGACCAATCCGTGATTGCTTCATCGCCCAAGTGGATGTGTTCATACTCTCGAGATAGTGCCACTCCTTTAACATTTCACATAAGCGCAACATGTACCGACACAAGTAGAAGACTACAATTTTCCACCCGGCTTTAGCCAAACAATAGGCAAGTGAAGAATGTAATTTTCGGAGGAGCATACACCTTCCAAATGATTTTATTCATGTTCGTGCGAGTAATGCCTAAAAATTGTGCATTGTGTGCCGATGCCACAAAATTTTTACCATCGTGTGTGCTTCCAAGTGACGGTGTCCTCGGTTGCCCACTCAAGATGGACATCTATAAGCTTGGCCCAAAGGAGGATGAATTGACACATGTGCTCCATGAAGGTGTCCATAAGCTTGATTTTCAAATCCATGTGTCCTGATCTCTCTTTTGCGATCAACAGGAGACCCGCTCCCAGTTCCATTTATCAAAGAAAAACAAAACCACCATACATAGTCTTAGCCAACACCAAAACAAGATAATTCTAAAGAAGAGAACTAAAAAGCTAGAGAAACATAAGCTCCACCATAGTTAAACGTAGCCAAGCTACAACTAAAAGGCATGCGTCGTCAACAGCAACACACCAGGGATATATTGCTCTAACTTGCCAGGGCCAAGTGCTCTTGTAGATTACAAAGAATTATTTGCGCAAGTCTTATTTTGAGATCTCACTAGACTCAATGTAGACAGCCCCACAATTCTTAAAAGAGACTATAGCATTTTGGCCCATATCTTGCAACTCAATGTGCTAAAAACCTAATCTAGAAGCATCACTACCAACAAACTTAGCCAGTTGATGTGGCTTTTTCCCCACAGGGTAGTCTTCTACACAGTAAGCACCTGACTTACTAATGTAACTCATCTTGTTTTTTTGGCACTGAGATTCATGATGGTTAGGATCATCACAATTGAAGCAAACCACATGGACATATTCAGTGAATTCTTCTCCATCCACAACATTATAAGATCCAGCATCTTTTTATCAATGTAGCAGGTTAGCAGATATCTTTTTCCTTTATCTTTCCTCAGTTGGGCACCCTGGTTTTGCCCTAGCCCCTCTGCTGACTTTTCACTAGATATTGATGCTGGGAAGGAGCAATCCACATATTGTTTGGGGGAAACGCTGAAGATGGAGGGTATTTGGTAAAAGGGCCTAGATACCCCCCCATTGTGAAATATTTTTTTTGGAAAAGAGGGTATCGCCCTCAGCCTCTGCATTGAGTGATGCACACAACCTTTTATTGATTGTTTCAAAGTTCATCATCCGAACACAATAACATTAACAAAAATACTGCCACACATGCTTATCCCAAGGCAAGTCAAAAAATAAAAATGAAGGGAGATGAGCCTTATGCATCACAAATCCTACTAATCGGCCGCCAACATAATTGTTGAACAAAACCCGAGAGACCATCTCTCATTGGTTGCACCCAACGACCATGGACGCCAGATCGTCCTCCTTGTGTAGTAACGACACAAATGGATCTAGATGTCGGGAACCTGCAAAAAATTGGAACTTTTGTTCTGTTAAAAATATAGCCATTTCGAGTATTCCAAATGTCCCAAAGTAAAGCACAAATTCCCACACAGATCTCAGACTTCAGCTTGGGATGTACCCCGACTAACCAGTTTCTGAACATATTCATACTACTCATTGGCGGAGGTAGATTAATAGCTATATTGATAGATCTCCATAATAGCTTGGCATGTGGGTAGTCAAGGAATAGATGTTGAATTGACTCATCATTACCACAGAAGCAACACTTAGTGCATCCTTGCCAATTCCCTTTTTCAGATTTTCTTTTGTTAGGATGACCTTGTGATCTAAGTACCACATGAAGAGTTTTATTTTCAACATGACTTCCATTTTCCATATATATTTGTGGTGGAAAGGTTGCCCATCATTGAAGAGGTATAAATAAATGGAGGGTAGTCAACTTTCAACGGAATGTGTTTTATTCTTATGAAGGTTAACCGTCATCAACCTTTCAACATGATTTAACCAGTTGGTCCATTTGTCCCTGATTAGTGGTCTTTGGAAGGCAACATTCAACGGTACCTAGCCTATCACAGAGGCAACAGAGACATCTATCCACTGCACGATATGATAGAGGCATGGGTATTGCAAGGCTAGTGGCATGTCCCTGTTGGGGAACGTAGTAATTTCAAAAAATTTCCCACGTACACGCAAGATCATGGTGATGGCATAGCAACGAGAGGGGAGAGTGTTGTCCACGTACCCTCGTAGACCGTAAGCGGAAGCGTTAGCACAACGCGGTTCATGTAGTCGTACGTCTTCACGATCCGACCGATCCAAGTACCGAACGTACGACACCTCCGAGTTCAGCACACGTTCAGCTCAATGACGATCCCCGGGCTCCGATCCAGCAAAGCTTCGGGGATGAGTTCCGTCAGCACGACGACGTGGTGACGATGATGATGCTCTACCGGCGCAGAGCTTCGCCTAAACTCCGCGACGATATGACCGAGGTGGAATATGGTGGAGGGGGGCACCGCACACGGCTAAGGAACGATCCGTAGATCAACTTGTGTGTTATGGGGTGCCCCCCTGCCCCCGTATATAAAGAAGGGAGGGGGAGGTGCGGCCGGCCCCCTTGGGGTGCGCCTGGAGGAGTCCTACTCCCACCGGGAGTAGGACTCCCCCCTCTTGCCTTGGTGGAGAAGGAAAGGGGGGAGGGGAAAGAGGAAAGGGGGGCGCCGCCCCCCCCTTCCTTGTCCTATTCGGACTAGGGGGGGAGGGGGCGCGCGGCCTGCCCTGGCCGGCCCTCCTCTTCTCCCTCATGGCCCACTAAGGCCCATTAACCCCCGGGAGGGTTCCGGTAACCCTCCGGTGTTCCGGTAAAATCCCGATTTCACCCAGAACCTTTCCGATGTCCAAACATAGGCTTCCAATATATCAATCTTTATGTCTCGACCATTTCGAGACTCCTCGTCATGTCCGTGATCACATCCAGAACTCCGAACAAACTTCGGTACATCAAAAATTATAAACTCATAATAAAACTGTCATCGTAACGTTAAGCGTGCGGACCCTACGAGTTCGAGAACTATGTAGACATGACCTAGAACTATTCTCGGTCAATAACCAATAGCGGAACCTGGATGCCCATATTGGTTCCTACATATTCTACGAAGATCTTTATCGGTCAAACCGCATAACAACATACGTTGTTCCCTTTGTCATCGGTATGTTACTTGCCCGAGATTTGATCGTCGGTATCCAATACCTAGTTCAATCTCGTTACCGGCAAGTCTCTTTACTCGTTCCGTAATGCATCATCCCGTAACCAACTCATTTGGTTACATTGCTTGCAAGGCTTATAATGATGTGCATTACCGAGAGGGCCCAGAGATACCTCTCCGACAATCGGAGTGACAAAACCTAATCTCGAAATACGCCAACTCAACATGTACCTTCGGAGACACCTGTAGTACTCCTTTATAATCACCCAGTTACGTTGTGACGTTTGGTAGTACCCAAAGTGTTCCTCCGGTAAACGGGAGTTGCATAATTCTCATAGTTACAGGAACATGTATAAGTCATGAAGAAAGCAATAGCAATATACTAAACGATCAAGTGCTAGGCTAACGGAATGGGTCATGTCAATCACATCATTCTCCTAATGATGTGATCCCATTAATCAAATGACAACACATGTCTATGGTTAGGAAACATAACCATCTTTGATTAATGAGCTAGTCAAGTAGAGGCATACTAGTGACTATATGTTTGTCTATGTATTCACACATGTATCATGTTTCCGGTTAATACAATTCTAGCATGAATAATAAACATTTATCATGATATGAAGAAATAAATAATAACTTTATTATTGCCTCTAGGGCATATTTCCTT